AGACAGAGAGACAGAGACAGACAGAGAGACAGAGAGACAGAGACAGACAGAGAGACAGAGAGACAGAGACAGACAGAGACAGAGACAGAGACAGAGACAGAGACAGAGAGCCTAGCAGATTTACAATACCTGATACTATAGTAGACATGGGGAAAAGTTACTTAACTGTTAGTGAAACGTATGTGCTACATCCTTTTCGAAAAGCAATCTGGAAATGTGAAAGTATAAATAGAAATATGCAGCATATATACATATATATGTATGAATATGACTAATATAAATATTAACCATATATAATACAAATACTATTGGTATTACAGATCACCCAGTAACTCCACTTGGAAACTATTCCCTGGAAACAATGTCTGAGTTTATAACTCAGAGATAAGAGTATTGCCTAGCCTGCACGGGGCCCTGGGTTTGATCCCTGACACCACAACTAAGGAAAAGGCAAGAGAAGGGAAAGGAGGGAAGGGAAGGAAGGGAGTAAGGAAGAAAAAGGTTGAAGATACAGATAAAGAATTTATCTAGGATTTTTTTTTTTTTTTTTTCTGGGAATCAAACTCAGGACCTTGCCTTTCCAGGCAGGAACTTAAACCACTGAGCTATCTCCCTGGTCCCAGATAAAGAATTTAATGTAGCATTGCCTAGTGGCAAAAAATGAAAACTGTGACTTATCTTAGACGTAAAATGAATTATGATGCTTCTATACAATAGTAACAGTAATATATAGTCCTTGAAAGCAAGGAGTTAAAGCTATACTTTTTAATGGAGAAACATTTGAACAAAGTGTAGAGTGAGAATAACACAATGTAGACAACAATTAAAGCCATATTTGCATTTTACAGCCATGGGTATTGTGTGTATTTGTATGTGGACCGGCTAGAGAGACCAGGACTTATGCGCAAGGATTTATGCTGCTTTGTCAACAGGACTTACTTTGCCAGGAGTGAGGAGGCTGTGTTATGTGTCAAGGAGTGGATTCAGGGAAAGGAAGCCAAGTCACAAAGGATAAGGAAAACAGTATCAGGTTTTGGAGGAAAACAGGATGTTTAGGACCAAAGCTATGCATTTGTGCCAAGCTATTCCTACGTGGGAAAGAGGGGCAGTTTTTAGAAGGAGAGCTGCTAGAGGAGACCCCGGCTCATAGCCTGTGTGTGAATCAGACACCTCTACACCCTAGGGCTGAGGCTTTCTGTCTAAATGTGAACTCGTCCCGTGTAGGCATTGTCCTAAGGCCCAAGTACCCCTGATGTGCCACAAACCTTAAGCGTGAAAGACGGCACCCCAAGCCCGCCTCAGGGAAGAATCAGGGGGAAGGAGTAGGGGCTGGGGAGATGGCTCAGTAGAATAAGCGCTTGGCTGGCAAGTGCAAGAGCCTGAGTTCAATTCCCAGCTCCGGAAAAAAAAAAAAAAAGAAAGAAAAAAAAAAAAAAAAAAAAAAAAAAAAAAAGAAAGAAAGAAAGTCAAAATGAGAGTCATAGATGCCACTCTACTTGAGCTGGACAGTCTTTTTGGTACTTCAGGCTGAGTGACACAGTTTGATTTCTCAAACCACCACCTGGAATATTTTTCACCCTCTTCGATGTCTTTTTAGTCCTAGTTCACCCTTGGGCTTCTTCACTGTATGAAATAAGGTAATGGCAGAGGAAATGCCCTCCAGCCCCCTGCCCTAGCTATGTAGGTTTCTCGCTTCCCTCACCCAGCACCTAGTACTTTTCTAGCCCAAATAGTACTGCGTGTGGCTTGGCTTTAACCCTCTCCCTCTTTCCTCCCTCTCCCCAGCACTGAGCTCCTGAAAGCAGCCAGAAGGCAGAGGTGGAGGCTACCCTTCCACAGAAGAGGATGAGCGATGCTGCCTCTCTAAATCTGGGGGCACAGTGCTCCTCTCTGCATGGCACCCTAAGCTTTCTCTGCATCGCTCGGAAATCTTAGGGATGCCTGGGAGGCCAGGGCACTGCCAGGTGTAAGATGTTACCATAAACGCTGACATCTCACCCTCCAACAAAACCACACGGAACCAACGGGTTCTTGGCCCCCGTGAGGGGACTGGACTTCAGTCTGACCTGAAGTCTAGAGAGTAAATTTAAAGTGCTTCGTTGGAGATACTCAGAGGGCCCGCCAGACTCCTGCGTAGCCAGCGCTCTCTGGAGTGTGTGGAGCAGGCACCCCAGCTGCCCGCTGGTGGGTGCCGCCCATGCCCGACTGCGCGGGCCGCCCAGTCCCCACCGCAGAGGGCGGGGTCGGTAGGGAGAGGTGGAAGGGCCTTCGCGAGACTCCGATGGTCCGATTCCGAGTGGCGGCACTCAATCCGGAACGTGTTCCCGAGCTCAGCCCATCTCAGCTGCTCCAAAACTGGTCTCGCTACCTGGCGAGTTTTTCCCCACTCCCCCCCACCCCAAGCACCCCTCAGTGCTGGCTTTTGAAATTGCTTTGAGCTGGGAGCCGAAGCCCCAAAGCCCTTCAGGGGCGGACGCGGGAGTGGGAGAGCAGGAAGGCGACCTGCGCTCGGGTCCCGCCCCCACCCCCACCGGCAAACCTGGAGGGCCGGAGCGGGAGGCACCCCCCCCACACACACACACTCCCGCTAGCCCCCTAGCCAGGGAGGCGCGAAAGGAGGAGGAAGAGAAGGTGGGGGCTGCAGGGCGCACGCGGGGAGCGGCAGACCGCAGTGTTTGTTGGCCGAGAGCCCAGAAGCGCGGCCGGCGTCAGCAGCCTTAGCTCGGCGAGCTTCTCGGGGAGCACAGCCCTGCCCCGCGCCTGCACCGAGGCTCCCCTGGAGGACTCAGGGGAGGCTCCGCCGAGAGCCAGGTCACAGGTCAGCTGCGGAAGGTGCTCCGAAGGCGGGATCAGTCTACCAAGGAAATGAGCTAGGGATTGGGAGTGTGGGGTCCCGAACGCGACCTCAGGAAAGTTGTTTTGCGGACACTGGAAACCGACCGTGGCCGCTCCTCTCTCCTCGCAGCAGCCAGAGCGAGCCGGCGTTGTACTCGGCTAGAGCGCGGCCGGGAGCGCAGCGCTGGCACCTCGCCCTCACACTTGCCCCTCTGCCACCACCACCGGCAGGCGCTTCTGCAGAGCTGTCGCAGGGCTCCAGGCTGCCTCCTCGGGGGAGTTCAGCGCCCTCCACTCCAGCTGTTTCCCAGAGTGTCACCTCCCCACCCCTACCCCCACCCCAGCATCCCTGCTGCAACTGTGATTCCAGCGGCGGATCCCATTTGGCTGAGTTACTCCCAGACCACCTACTGCCCCCTCGCGGAGTGCTGAGGTGTCCGGTTTACAGACGCCCACAGCTGGTAGAGAGCAGCAAAAGACGTGGTGGCTGCGGCGGTGAAGTGAGACAGCTGCCAACAGCTGGCGCAGCTGCTGCGCGCGGGGACTGGCGAGTACGCAGCCCAGGTACTGCCCCTTCCCAGTGACGTCTCTGCAGCGGGTTATAAAAGCCTCGTGCGCATCCTGCAGAGGTTGTGCTAACTCCCGAGCTGAGCAGGACCCAAGCTAAGAGGCGCCTGCGACGCTGCAGGCAGCGCGGCGGCAGCGGCTTCTACTAAAGCGAAGAAAAATCTCCAGCTGAACACGAGGCCCCAGCATGCCGGTCATCGAATCAGAACTTTCAAAGGTAGCGCTGAGACTGGCCCTCCTTGCCTGCTTAAGTCCCTAGGCACCACAAGGCTTTGCCTTTCCCGCCGCAGGAAGGGGAACTGGCAGTTGCAAACACAAGCAGGTGCAGAACGGCGGGTTCTCTTACTTCCCAGACAGGGAACCGGCGGGACTACTGTCCGCCTTTCAGTTTAACGCAGACTACAACGCAGTCTCCAGATTCTGAACTCAACTGCTTCCAGAAACTGAAACGTGGAGGAATTCGGAGCTACGAAGGCCGGGCTGACAGAGCATCTAGAAGGCTTTCTCCTCCGAGAGGCAAGTCTGCTTGCAAAGAGAGTTTCGTCCAGAAAGAGACTTCCTCCTTCCTGTCTAGCTTAAGCAGAATTCCGAGCCTCAGGTGCCTGCCACAGGGCCTGGCTGTAAAGCCCGTGGTGTGTGTAGAAGGGAGGGCTTCGCCAAACACCTGAGAAATGGATAACGTCCTCCCTGTGGACTCAGACCTCTTCCCAAATATCTCCACCAACACCTCAGAACCCAATCAGTTCGTGCAACCAGCCTGGCAAATTGTCCTGTGGGCAGCTGCCTACACGGTCATTGTGGTGACCTCTGTGGTAGGAAACGTGGTGGTGATGTGGATCATCTTGGCCCACAAGAGAATGAGGACAGTGACCAACTATTTTCTGGTGAACCTGGCCTTTGCAGAGGCCTCCATGGCTGCATTCAATACAGTAGTGAACTTCACCTACGCTGTCCACAACGAGTGGTACTATGGCCTGTTCTACTGCAAATTCCACAACTTCTTCCCCATCGCTGCAGTCTTTGCCAGTATCTACTCCATGACAGCCGTGGCCTTCGATAGGTGAGCTTGCCCTTTCTAGAAGTCAGAATTGTCGGGAGAGCTTTGGGGCTGCATCATGCACGGTAGAAGGGGAAGACACAGTAGCCTAGGGCTTTCTCTGGCAGCTCCCATTCAAGTATCCCTTTGCAGTCTCCCTTTTCCCATTTTCTTCTTTTAACTTTCTGGTCTTTATTCATTCATTCATCTCCCCAATGCTATCCCTTCAACTCCTGTGTGCTCTTTTCCATATATTGTTTCACTCTTTTCTTTTAAAGCCTAAAAGTGATGCTCAGGACTTAGCCAAGGGGCTGACCCCTGGTTTGGTCTTTGTAAATCCCTCCAGGTTGCTATTCTGTTGGGCAGCTTCTTGTTGCTTTGAGTTTTAAGTGTGCATAGGCAAAATTCCTCATTTTTCATTTCTCCTTCAGGATAGTAGGGACTTTCAACTCTCCATTATTATTTAAATGATAAAAGTTTTTTTGCCAGTTCATAAAATAGTCCAGATCCTAATTCATATCCTCTGTATTGCAAGGAGCTCTTCTTAAAGTACACCATAGGCAGGGTCCCAGCAAGCTTACCCAGGGAGTTTTCTAAGTTTCTCTTGCTGTGGAATGTCAGTGTTTTTTACCCTGCCTAAGTCCACATGTTCTTGGCAAAAATAGCTGAGAGCTCTTGTCCCCTGCAACCAACAAGCTAGGGGTTGAGAAGCTGATTGCATATGGAAAAAAATAGCATTTTTAATTGCAGGCTGCGGATCTGGAAGGAACAAATCTTCAGGTGGCAGGATAAAACACTGAATACTAGAGCACAGCTTTATTGGTATTGACTTCTTGTGGATTTCCCAGGTCTCCAGTGTATGGCTGTGTGGACACAGGTGTTAGATATTTACCTGGGTGTGGAGGTATGTTTAAAACACCTGCTACTGTGATTTAAAATGATTCTTCTACTGTTTTACTGAGATAAATGCATGTGAGAAAGGAGCTAGGAGACAACCTCCGAAGAGATTCCCAACTAACCCTTTTTAAGTAAAGATTGTTTGTGACTTGCAGCTGATTTAGTCTTTTGCAGTTTCTGTGGTCTTTGCAAATCCCTCCAGGCTGCTGTTCTGTTGTGGTCAGTGAACAGTTTTTAAATTGGGGACATCTGTATGGTCATCCTTTGAAGTGACTGACATTCACATGCTGATAGGTGACTCCATGTCCATCTTTTATGCAGCTCTTAGATACTTGATATGTTTTGTATGAAACAAGTTGTGGTGAATGAATTTATATGTTAAATGCAGAAGGTAAACAAGTTACTCTGAATGGTAGTGAATCATTTTGTAAATTTATTTCTCTAAATGTGTTCAGATCCTTAATTTGGTGAGAGTGAAGTAAACCTGTAAATCTTTCTGTGTTCACTTGCTCCTTTTTGGCAGTTTCCAAACTTAAAAAGGGAATAAAAAATTCTATGGCATAACAGATAACCAAATACCAGGACAGGGACATGTGATGTCATCTTAAGCCTTACAAATGTGTTCTTTGTGATCCCTAAATTAGGTGGGAAGTGGCTGCTTTCTTATCATGTTGGGGCTTCACCTGAGCCCTAGGGAGCCCCGCCAGTCAGTGTGAGTTGGAACATTCAGCAGCTCATGAGCGTGAGCACTGGCATACGGCTCTCTCTCTCTTTGGCTTACACAGGCCTGCGCAAGCCCTGGAACTTAGATTAGGGGCTAGGGTGCTCCCAGCCCATGAGCAAAGAGCCAGAGTTTGGCTCTAAGGTTGGCTTTCTCTAGGGAGACCATGGCAGGACCCTGAGCCTCTGTGACCCTTGCTCAATGAAAATCAGGAGATCTCTGATGTCACAGCTATAGGAAATGATAGCAGCAATGTTTCCAGTGTGCAGATATGGGCCGGAGAGATTAACAGTGATATGCTGAATGTTAGAGGTCAGGTAGAGTTAGGGCTGAGCTTCATGTGTCTCTCTGTGTGCCATTCTAGTTCTCCCGCTTTTCCTTGCTTAGCCTCCTGAGCACACCATCTGGTTACCCCCTCAGGCTCCTGATGGGTGTGCCCCCTGCACGCATACTCATCCATCCTCCCCCAGAATGTGGTAGAAAGAAGGGACCATAAGCACCCCATGTGAATCATCTTTCCTTTCTACAACATAAATACACAGACTGTGAGCAAAAGCTGAATTATATTTTTTGCATCACTTCGAATATTTGATGAACAACCTTTGAATCAAATCTTTAAAATTAATATGGTCTTGCTCATTGTAAGTCTAAACCTTATTTATCACAGAAGATTTTGGACTTGTGAAGGGCAGAGACACAAAATTCAAGTCACCCCTTATCGCACCATGCAAAACTAACACCTGTGAACATCTGAATTTCTGTTTCATGAATGTTGCGCTGAACAACTGAGGTCAGAGTGTATATAATTTGCAAACTTATCTTTTCACTGATAGTAGTGGAAAACACAATAAGTTAACACATTATTACAATGTCTTCAGAAACATAATCTAAATGATTCCATATTTCTCCACTATGTGAATGTGAATGTCTCGTCATTTGTTTAACTACTCCCTTACTCTTGATTAAAGTAATTCCTCAATTTTTTGCTATTATATCATGATGAATGTGCTAATGGATATTTCTATGTATTAAGTTTGCTTTGCTTTCTTGACTGTATTTCTTCCTTAAGATAGGTTCCCAGCAGCAGAATAATGAAATCAAAAATTAAAAATAAAAATAAAAATAAAAAAGAATAATGAAATCAAATGGGAAAACATTAAATGATTTCTCCTCATTTTAAAGAGTTATAAATTCTGAGCAGAGCAGGGAACACCTGTGCATTGTCGTGTTCATTTTCGTGTCCGTAGTATAAGCAGAGGGCTTGACGCATAACAGACACTTTTGCGTGTATCACACAGGTAGTAATGAATGAGTAAACACATATTCCTAGAAGACCATTTGGAAAAACACATAACAGTAATAGAGACAATATAAAAAGCACCTTAAAATCCCACCATTGGTATATAACCAGTTAAAATTCTGGAAGCCTGGGTTGGAATTACTTTTCTGTCTGTGTTGCTTAAGCCAACTGACATAATAAAACCTTTAAAAATAAATTTTGGATCATAATACAAAGTTTCTATAGCTGATTATAGAGGGGTTTTTAGGTTTATGTTTTCTTTCTTTCTGTTTATTTCATTTTGGAAACTGCTGCTGCTGCTGTTGTTGTTCACTGACATTAACATGGGTAGTTGGCATTTCATAAAATACTTAAAATAGAATATTTAATGGTTGAGTGATAGTATATGGTTATGGTCACTTAACCATTCCTCAGCTATTAGATTGAAATTGTTTTCATTTTCTTTATGACCGGTAACTTTTATCTTGGACATAACTTTTTGAGAATATCTCTTTTTCTTTCATTAGTATAAACACCTTGAAATAGAATTGTTAGGTCAATCTACATTGCTACAATTTGCCAAGTGTCCTTCCAGAAGCAAGATGAATGAAGAAAAAAAAAAAAAGAATTTCAACTGCAGAATTCTGTACTAATCTAAATTTTTAATAGTGTTTTTATGAATAGGAAAACGGACAGGGATGGGTACTCCCCTTCACAAAGAATTCTTACATTTTTGAAGTGAACAGTTACCTAGGAAAAAAAATGTTTCACAGACTCTAGTGAACTCCAACAAGCAGCAGTATTTTTTTTTCTTTTGAAGCACTGCAATTTCTCACACTTAAAATTTGAAATTCTTTTCCACTATAAAACCCAAAAGATATGTGTGATGTTTCATGAAATGTAAAGACCAGGGGCCCAGGGATATAGCTCAGCAAACTCAATCCCTGGTACAAAAAGAAATAGTAAAGACCATAAGGTATGACACCTTTGATTTACAGGGGTTAGAGGTGGACAATAAGCTGTTGTATTGTGGAATAGAATCTAAAGAGGGAACAGGTAGACCTTAAACCCACACAAGGTAAAGGGGCAATAGGAAGCCTAACTTGGGGCTCTCGGGAAAGCAACGGCCTGGTGTCATCGCTGCTTCACCTGGAAGAGGCAGCTATAATTTAAGTGAGGGGAAAGGAGAAGATTGTTCACTACTCAGATTTGTTCTAGGTATATTGTATTGGAGTGAAGGAAAACATCTCAATGGGATATGTGTTTGGAAAACAGGAAGAACAGTCAGAATCAAAATTATCATGGTCCGGAAAGAAGTAGCAACTGACGGCAAAACAGGAAATGAGCTCACTAAGGAAGAAAACAACCTGAAAAGAAGACATACACATAAAACAAAAACTTTGCCCACATACCCCACAGCTCTCCAAGTTCCTACTAGTCCTGCTGTCCCTCCTTGAACCTCACCTTGCTGGTTAGACCTAGGTTCCATTGTCTATTTTAGCGTTGTCCCTGAGTCTTTCGCGAAGGTGAAGCTCAAATTCCAGGATTCTTTGCATTAATTTAGAGGGACCCAGAAATGCCTGTGATGCTGATAATGGCTGAGAATTAACTATAAACTCATCCAGCAAAACTGGAACCTTAGATAACAGTTTTCAATTAGTTAAAAAAAAAAAACCCTAAGTTTGTTACATATCAGATGGACATTTAGGGCTTAGAACCCTCCCTTGAGAAGGTCAGTGGCCACCAACTCTCTGGAGCTGCCCTGCCAAACATCGCTTATCCTCTCCCAATTACCAGGAGTCCCCCCTGTGTTCTGAGTGGTCACAATTGTTAAAATAAAACAAAACAAAATCTAGTATGAATACAGGTTACTGGATGGGGGGAAGCAATTCTTTCACTATAAAAGCACATCATAGGACAAGACTTTCTCACTGTTATTGTTGACAATACAGGCAATTGTAGAATGAGGATCATGAGGGTGGTAGAAACTCACTGTTACATTTAGAAAAAATATTCACTCTATTGAGGGATGTTGTCGCAAGGTAAGGTGATCTTTCCTACCATGGGACTTTACCTCTTCTGCTAAAGATTATATATATATATATATATATATATATATATATATAT